TTAATGCGCTGGACTGCAAGGTCGTTTGAACTGCAAGGTTGGCGGTTCAAGCTCACCAGCTGCTCCTTGGAAACCTTTTACAGAGCTGCTTTGAGTCAGAACCGACTCGATAGCACTTAACAACAACAACATACATGAGTCTATATAAAGAGGAATAAATACACACATATATATAGTTATAGCTATCCTTGTTGTTATTAAGTGTCGTCTGTCAGTTCAAACTCAGTGAGCCCTGTCTAGGGTTTCTGAGGCTTATAAAACTGCGGAAGCAGAAACTTCATCTTTTTTCCCTGGAGTGGCTAGTTGGCTTGAAACGCGGAGCTAGTGGTTCTCAATCTGTCAACTACTCTGACCGAGAAAGATGAAGCTTTCTGCTGTCACAAAGGTTTACAGCCTCAGAAACCCTGTACAAGATTGTTATGAGTTGAAAACACTACGGTGTATAAATATACATAATATACACATACATGTATATGTGTGTGTATATATGTACAACAACGTCTATGTAAATATATGTATATATGTATAATAATATATATAATCAAAGAAATGACTTACTAGAGTCCTAGTCCAGTGGAAGAGAGAGCTTTTACTGTATTTACATAGACTTTGTTGTACATATATTTACATAGACGTTGTTGTACACATATATTTACATAGACGTTGTTGTACACATATATTTACATAGACGTTGTACATATATTTACATAGACGTTGTTGTACATATATACAGAATCGACTCGATGGCACTTAACAACAACAACAACATACATACATGTTTGTTTCCGAGGAGAAGCTGGTGAGCTTGAACCGCCAATCTTGCAGTTCAAACAGCTTTGCAGTCTGGCGCATTAACCCACAGCGCCACACCAGGAATATATGTGTGTGTGTGTGTGTAGTTGTTAAGTGCCTTCAAGTTTGCATCACCAACCTTGCACAGTTAACAGTCCAGTGCTTATCCTACATTTCCAGAGAGAGAGAGCGTCAGTCCTGGTGTGGTGCTGTAGTGTAGATAAAGCACTGGATCACAAGGTCCGTTTGAACTGCAAGGTCAACAGTTCAAACTCACCAGACTCTCCCTGGAAATCCTACACGGAGTCTCTGTGGGTCAAACCGACTCAACGGCACTTAACAACAACATATACAATATCTCTGCCCCTAACCCAAAAATCATTGTTTCAGAACCATAAAAAAAGGTTAAAACAATTAAATAGTCCAAAGATGCAATCAGATGGCTCTTTGAGGCTCTTACTAATCTTTGGGTGAATATCTTAGCTGGTATACTTTGAAATTGAAAGGCTCCCTAGACCAGACTGATCACCCCATTGTGGTGGCCTCCAAATGTGGGCCATGCTACATTTGCTGTCTTGTTGTTAGCTGCAGGATATGACACGGATGATATGGGCATTTAATCTTCTTTAGCAGAATTGGTAACTGTCTGAGGAACAGGAGCTTCCACGACTTCCTTGTGGGTGATTTGAGCAAAAGAATCTCATAAGTTTCACAGTGGGTGGGCAGGGGAAAAAAGGCACTGCTTTCCCTGAGCCTAATTAGGGGTGAAAAGAAAAAAAAAAAAATACTAAAACTGGTGATTTCCAGGCATTTAAATTTATTTCTTCTGCTGCATAGAAACATTTCCATATGAGTATTAAGAGTAGTGGGGTTTTTGTGTGTGTGTGTTTTCCATATCATCTTTAAGAAAAGAAACTTTTTCTGTTTTCCTTGAGCCTGAGTATAAGCAACTTGAAGACGGGTGAAAAATCATTCTAATAATATTGGGATGCCAAGGTGCATCCCAAGTGGCTTATGCTTTTATATATTTCTAAATATAGCATTGCTTTTAATGCATTACTGACATAAAAAGCATACTATCTTGAAGCTTACAGTATCTACTAAGATGCAGTTATGAAAGTATTGGTTCTGGGGACTAGAGCTTAATCCCAAATCATAAAAGGGTAAGTAATATTATTGGTTACAAAAGTTCATTGATGCCAAAATCATTATAATGATATAATGTTTTCATTCATCTAAATTGCTAGTAATCTCCCATGCCTCTGGGGCATCACTCTGGTTTGCACAGTATGTTTCAATTAACTTATCATCCAAGACCTAAAAGTTTGTACGCTCAAGTCAAACTATATATGCACATTTGGAGCAAGTGGCAGTTCTCACATCTCCCTTACCAGTGGTTATTAAAATGGCAAATGGCCTGCAGGATCAGTAGTAGTACCAAGAGACCAACCCATGACTATGGACTCCTAAATCAGAATTCTAACTCCTCAGCCAACCTTGAAATTAAGCATGAATATTGTCAGTCTGCATTTCTGCACCTCCTTTTTTCTGCAAAATAATAAAAAGCAATTATATCAATGTTGCCTCCTATTCATCTGATGGATAACTATATCGACCATTGGAATAACTACTGAAAGTTGTAATCATCTATCTTTATACACATTAAAATGTTTTATAATCTTCTATCTTTATACACATTAAAAATTTTTGTGCCCTGTATTCCCATAAGCATATTTCTTATACAAGCAACAAAAAAGTGTAAAAGTAAGAAACAACCAGCATTCATTACAGAATCCCAGATCCGTTTCCACTGACATCCCCCCAAAATAAGAATGGACCTTAGAGTTGGTAAAAAAGAAAAAGTATTTCTGAGTACTATTGATTGTCTTTACTCTAAAAATAAATCATCAGTTATCCATAAATAGCATCTAGAGTGCACTTAATTCTAAAAGATGAATAATAATCATCACTATGCACCTCCCCTCAAATATCCTTGGGTGATCATCTATCTTTATACACAGCCTCTGTTCATTAACTTTATTATTCTATCTCATTCATTACTCGTTAAAATACAGATATACAAATATATTTACATATGGCAGTTAAAATAAACTACTAGATTTCAGAGAACCCTTGCAAAATGTTTTATGTAACAAAGCATATTATTTTCTTCCACTGACTTGTAAGCCCTAAGTGGCAAATAAAAGTGAAGAAATAAGGTCATTATTTGAATAAATAAAACAAAAGTATTTTCTTTTTGTCTATCGTGTTCAGTCATGGACTTCGATCCTACAATGTAGTTTGTACAGATCTAAAAGTGCTATTTTAGCCTTCTCAATTTGTCAGACATTACTAGTCATTCTCCATCTCTGATTAGGGAGGACAAAACACAGAAATAAGCTAAGAAAAGAGGGAATTATGTGAGCCACACTTAAACAGTCTTTAGCATTGAGAATTGGACAAGAAAATAATTTACTAAGCACATACTAAGATACTAAATTAGCTAAGTAAATACATTTTTTAAATAATGAAAGAATTGACTATAAGAATATAGCACTCTGTTGAGAGGAAAATACAAATAAATAAATGGAATAGAATGCAAATTTGAATTTATGTTGTGTTGTTGTTAAGTGTCATCAAGTTGTCTTTTGATGTATAGTAACACTGTATAGGGTTTCTGAGGAGCAGGTGGTGAGCTTGAACTGCCAAACTTGCAGTTCAAATGACTTTGCAGTCCGGTGCATTAATCCATAGTGCCACATCCTCCTAATATATGGATATATATGTATGTTTTTAAACGTTTTATTGTGAATTGGATGAAGGTTTACAGACAAGATCATCAGCTTTGCATTCAACACTTTTTTTCATCTCAGTGATTACAATCCCTTCCCTGCAACAGGTTATTCTGCGTCCCCCCTGTGGCTCCCCATTTACATCTTATATTTTGTAAATGAACAAAACAAAAATATTTGATGTACATTGACAGAACAAAAAATATATATTCATTAAAATGTTCAAAGGGCACATTCTGCCAGCCAGTCTCCTGCCCATAGGCACAAAGCCTAGTCCATGGGCATAGAGTCCCCAACTGCTCTGTCTCTCCATGCCACTGCCTCTGCCATTGTCTCTGCTGTCTGTGCTTTTCTAGGTAGGAATCTTAGGCTCCACTCATGCTCTTCCGTCTTCATGATCCTGGGATTGCTGTTCCTGAAATGAAAGATGAACTACTTCCCCCTTTTATTAACAAATCTTCTACAATTACAGTTATGACAATCACCTTAAATCCTGCTAACAATTACTCAAAATTGAGTCTATATGACCATATATTGTTGTAGTTGGTGATGGTGGTTATGTGCCGTGGAGTCGA